CCCACAAAAAAAAAAAAAAAAAAAAAAAAAAAAAAGAAAGAAAGTCAGGCAGAGACAATACCAACGTGAGGCGAGCCCGGGAGAGGACTTTCCCAGTGAGCACAGTCTGCGGTGACAGCCGCCGGCTTCGGGAAAGCAAACCTGGGGCCAGGCGGTGGCACAGCCTTTGGACGCGATGCACTGGGAGGCAGTCCCCCACGGAAGGCTCTCAGTTCAAGTCCAGAGACCTCCCTAAGGACTCTGGGCACATGTAGGCATACGATCTGGGCTGGCTGAGGGTGGAAATGGATTGTGGCATCAGGACCCCGCTGGAAATACTCTCTTGTTTCTCTCTCCCTGTGTGTCTCTCACTTGTGGAGAAAATAAATAAACTAAAAAAAAAAAAATTAAAAAAAAAGGAAAGAAAAGAAAAGCAATGCCTTGAAACAGAGCTCTACTCTATTCAAGGGAGCTTATCATTGGGGAGCAACTGCCACTGCTGGGTATCTTGGGACTGTCATTAATTTTTTTTTCTTTTTTTTTTTTTAGGCTTTTGCCATAGGGTGTATGCATTCACAGAAGAGAGACAGAGAGAGATAGAGAGAAGGAAAATTAGAAATCACCGTCCTGGGGGATGACAATGCCACAATCCCTTCTCTATTGTCCTCTCAGGAGTTTGGGTATGCACACATGTGCGACCACTGTGGTTTTCAAGCTACTGGATCTGGGACTTGAACCGTGATCAGCCATGTGGGAGTCCAGTGCCTTAATGATCCTGCCATCTTCTGATACGCCCCCTCATCATGAACCTTTAAAATAAATATTTAATTCATTTCTTCCATGAGTGAGAGACAGAGACACACACACACAGGTATCCCAGCAGGACTGTCACACCAGACTACCCCAATCTCAGCTGGCCCAGATCAGGGCCTGGCATACACAGGGAGGTCGTGGGAGCAAACCCAGACCCTCTCCTATGCCAGTTCAGGTGCATTCTACTGCGCCACCACCTGGCTACGCCGACATTAGCTGTCACTGTCACTTAGTGTTCATACAACGTGAGGGAGGTGGGATGCTAGGACTTGGGGATCACGGACTACTGAAGTCAGACAGCCCTGGCCTTTGGATAAGGCTAACTTCTGAGAACCCCAGCAGGACCAAGATGGGAATAATAGCAATCATCTATGAGAGGCATTAAATAAAATGACGTGCAAAAATGCCAATGCCGGGCACCGAGTAAATGGTTAACAAATGGCAGCCCACTGTATGAGGCTACAGGTGAGCTTGACCAGAAAAGGCAGCCCCCCTCTGCCCAGACACGGGACTGAACTCCCAAGCACAACACGGTCCCGTGCCACCAAGTCACAATCTATGCATCTGGATTTTAAGGGCTAAGGAGGCTTGAGAAGAGGATGTTGAGGGATATAGATGTAATCGTCGCCTGCTGCCACGGAGCTGGGCACTAGTGTCTTCAGCTACCACAGACAGAATGAAGGCTCATGGGTGAAATGACCCAGCAGCTCCACCGGGAGCTTCAGGGCTTAGTGAAAGGAGACTGGGTCCAGCGTGATCAGAGTAGTGGGGGTGGCCCTTTATTTTCCCAGCACTCAGAGTAGTGGGGGTGGCCCTTTATTTACCTACCGCTCACACAGCTCATACTACAGCAGGCACTGCCCTACATGCTTTAAGGTTCTAACTCATTATTTGTAACAACCGCATGGGACAGGTACTGTTACCATCCCTGCCGGAAAATGGGAGATGGACTGGCCCGATGGCCTATCGGATCCCAAGGTGACCAGGCCCCACTAGGAGTGCTTTCTTCCTCTTCTTCTCTCTGTCTCGTAGGGGACTGTATATGCCTTCAGGCAAATTAGAAAACAAAAAAAATAAAATGAGGATATAGCGGCACCATGAAGTAAATGGCCCACAATCACACAGCTGGTGAGCCGCAGGGTCAGGATGCAAAGCCAAGCAACCTGGTCCCAGCGTCCGAGCTCTTGCCCACTGTCTCGCTGGTTCTCAAAGTGAGGTTCGCCCATCAGGAGCAATGGCATCACCCTAGAACTTGTTAGATACACACATTCTCAAGCCCTACCTCAGACCAGTTGAATTGGAAACTCTGGAGATAGGATTTAGTCATCTATGCTTAACAAGCCTTCCAGGGTGCGCTGACATGTTCCCACTGGAAAACCACCTCCCCGCACCATTGCATGGAAAGACACTGAGCGAGCATTACCTCAAAACCCAAGTCCATGTGCCCCTACGCATGCTTCAAGTCTGCAGTGGCCATGCCCCCCTTTCCACCCAGCTGAGCTCCCTGGAGACATCTGTATGAAAAGGCCGAGCCGCAGACGTGCCGTCGATAATTCTCCTGACATCACATGCCTGTGCGCGTTTGGCATGCACCAGTCTCCATCCGAGCGAAACAAGCAATCTGAACCGTGACTAAGGAGACACGGAAACAATCAATCCCACTAATTGCCTTTATGAGAGCGCGGTCCTGCGATTATTCATTAACACCTTCTCTGCTGCCTCCTTGCCAACCTTTCACTTGGCGGCTGCTGCCCTCACACCCAGGTCTGGGGAGTTCCAAGATGGTGCTGCTCATCTCCACCTGAGACAGATCCTGGAGGACCCGGAGCGCCACGGCAGGGCTCCGACTGACGCGTGAACGCGGGAGAAATGCTGGCCGAGGACTCTTCAAAAAAACAGGTCTTGGGGCGAGACAGCAGCAAAGCAGTCGATGTGATGCTCTACGACAAGGCAATCTCACATGGGAAGGTTCCTGATTCAGGTCTGGAGACCTCCCTGAGTAGGTCAGGCACATGGGAGCCATACAGGGACTGGCTTGGGCTGGTGGTAGGGACCTTGTGGGAGGTCCCTTTCTCTGTTTCTCTTGCTCATGGAATAAATAAATAAACTTCAAAACAAAACAAAAACAAAAACAAAAACAACAAAACACCAAGGGGATCGTCCGCTGCGTAGTGGTTAAGGCAGCTAGATCTCCACAGATCCTGTGGTAAGAACATACTGGATGTGGGTGTGTGTGTGTCCAACATCCCAGAAGAAGGGAGAAATGGAGGAGGGATTGTGGCATGACCATATCCTATGGGGGGGTTTGCTTTTTCCTCTCTTCCTCTCCCCAGTAAGTGTATGTGCCCTCTGGCAAAAATACCCCTGCCCCCCCCCCAAGAACAACAAAAAATTTCCAACTTTAGATGAACCCACTTTGTATTCCTTAACCCAGAGCCCCATGAGAGGGTCAGTCTAAGAAGTGGTGAGAAGAGCTCTGCAGGGAGGGAGGGAGTCTAGATGTGCCAGAGTGGAACACCACAAGGAGTTTTCATCAGTTGAACCTTTGAACCACTTAACTAGGTCAAGCAAATGAATCTTCATATTTGGATATTAAACCAAATACGACATGCAAAACTGCCATGCAAATGAGCAGATGTTGTTATTTGGAGTCAAGGACTCGGCTATTTTCATATCAGAATGGCAACCCTGGCAGGAGGCAGGGCTTGCACCTGCTCTAGAAGGCGGCCGAAGAACAGGACCTGACAGTCCCACTCCGGGCTGGTCAGCGTGTTCTCTCTGGGCAGGTGGCTAGGGACTAAGAGCCCCTGTGGGATTCCTGATGGCTGGTTCTCAGGCTCCTGGAGTGTGCAGTGTCTCCAGTTAAAAGAAGTATCTGTGGCTCTGGGCGTTTTCAGAACTGTCGCTAAGATCTTCCCAGCGACATGTCCATCTAAAGATAAACTTCTGCATCCCAAGGAGGTTAGTGTCTCTGAAAATCCAGCCCACTCCTCTGAAGGGGGCTTTACCTGTTAGGTAAGGTCCTTTATTTTCCCCTGTTATCTACCATCCACTGAGGTTATCGTAAGTCCCCTAGAGCCTCAATCCCTCAGGCTTGGCTGCACCCTTCCTCCCTCACAGCGCGTTTTGATCATAGCTTAAAGACGACGCAGACTGTGAGAGAAACACCTACAACTTCCCTTTCCTGTACTGCAACCCTTCTGCTTATTTCTTTATGCTTCTTAATAAGCTCATACTTTAATTCCATTTCCCATAAACTTTTTGAAATCCCCTAATATTTGCATATGGCCTATATAGATCCTGCTGCATACTTTTTTTTCTTTAATTTCTGCAATAGGGTCCATTCTCCTCCAGTCTCCTCTTGAGATTTTGGGCACACACACACACACACACACACACCGCAAATCGGTGCGTGCCCAGTATGAATCTCAAGCTGCCAGCTCCAGGACTCGAACCATGAAGTTGGCCATGTGGGATCTAGCACCTTCACTAACTCCATGCCACCTGTTGGCCAGAAACCACTATTTTACCCTGGTGAGTCCCTGCCAAGGACTCAGCTAACCTGGGCCCCAACTGCTGACCCGTGAAAACCACAAAATAACTGTGTTGTTTTACGTTGCTGCACTTGTGAAAAATTTGTTTCGCAGCAGCAGGAACAGCTACAACACCTCGCCCGCCCAGTGCTTCCCTTCTAAACCTCACATCTGGTTCTCACCGAGGAAAGCATCGCTCAC